TTCAGCAAAGTGGACTGAAATTCAAGACGGCAATGAATAAAAACAAAACAAAACAAAAAAAAGACAGAATCCTGAGGTGGTGGATATATGCAAATAGCTGGCTTCGTTTTTAAGGTACCACTCAACTGAACAAACAAAAATGACTACATCATGTACAAAACTGAGGTTTTTTTCAAGATAGCTGGCAGCTGATGCTTTAAAGAATAGTGCAACATTTGAAATTTATTTGCTTTTTTGGTGCCATGAGCTAGCTGAGAAGATAGATACCTTTCATGTTTGTGTGTTCAATATGAAGCTGCAGCTAACAGCCAGTTAGTTTAGCTTAGCATAAAGAATGGAAACAGAAGGAAGCGGCTAGGTGGTTCTGTTCAAAGACAAAACAGACCACTTGTAACAATCTTCTTATCCAACTCTTGAGGAGAGGGCAAATAAGCTCATTTCCCAAAATTATATTAAATGTGAACCTTTTGGACCACAAACCACTGTAATAAGGAGCCATAACTAACATAGCAAAGCAATTTCTAGACTCATAATATTCAGCTCAGTAAAACATTTATTCAAGTATTTCCAACTAAGAAATCTGAAATTATTTACAGTGCATCATGTTCACTAGTGCAGGTCTGACCTCTGGTAACTGAGACAGACTTGGACGTGACAATACAGAGCATGACCATATATATACAATAAAGGTCACAATCCTTCATTCTCCTACCCCGCTAAAAACATTAAGCATCCCCCTTACACACATTCACTCAAACATGTACACACACAAGGACACACAGTACAGAGTCTACTACTCCACATCTCACAAAAGGCATAAACCATTAAAGCCTTTTCACATCAAGGAAGGTTTTCCCTGCAAAAACCTCACAAGAGAAATACAACTTAGTGTTACGTATTCTCTAAAACTGCTTACATATCAGCTGGGTAGTGGTAATGCAACCTGGACCATCACTAATTCTGCCAACATCAAAATATGGATTTTGAGTGCACAGGGCCCTCCAACCATACCTGAATTCAAATGGAAAACATCTCATTCAATATCCAAATTTAATTTGACAGTCTGAATTGTCATTTTGCTCTCCAGACCATAGTCCCAGTCTTGACCATAACAAGACTCGTCGCAGAGTACCTGCAACTGAACCTCACAGTAAACCAGTCCGGTGTAGCTCTTCACACCTCACAGAGGACAATGGGGAAATCTACATGAATACAGGGGTGGTCGAGCTTCACAATTCCCTGAAAAATAAAATAAATTCAATTCAATAAATCATTAAAAATATAAATCAAACAGATATTGTTGCCATATTTGTTCCTAACTCACCTGTGGAATCAGATTTTTCTGGATCCTCTTCAACTTGGACTTTTTTCTGCCATTTTTTGTCACTACTGTCTCTTCATAGAACTCGTGGGCAAGGTCGCCATCCTCGTCGTAGTATAAAGAACTGCAAGACAGCGAGTAAGTTTGGAAAATCAGTTTGGAACTACATGTCAGATGAGGACACTTGTATTAACTCAGAGTTAATTGATTTTTAACTTAAAAACACACAGAGCTGATGAGGATTACAAATGACATTCTGTTTAGGGAACCCCTGTAAGGTTTAATGGCCAATCAGGGACCTTTGTTGCATGCCCCTCTCCAGTCATTTTGTTATCTCGACTTTTAGCTATATAATATAGACATAAAATGCCTTTATAATAGAGGTTTGCCTCCATTTGCATGCCAGAAATAGGGCATTTCATGGACAAATAAAACAAAAGCTACCTACACCACAAGGGACACATGAGAAATTTGGGTGACCCAACCCTTTATCATTTCCCAAGGACATTACTTACCTCCTCCTGGTAAAAATAAACGGTGTTGCACTTCTGGACCCTTTGAGACGGGCTAAAGACTGCTCATTCCCATCACCGGCTGAATCACCTCCAGCCCCACTGCCTGAGAAAGGCCAGACACCTTTGGCTTTGGACCCACTTCCTCCCATTCTCAGAGATAAGGCATAGTTAAGTCTACACTTTTTAAAGCTTGCACTCTGGCTGGTGGTCAGATGCTCTCAATTCCTCTTTAAAACGGAGCTCTGGGGAGTAAAGTACACAAACATTCCAGATCAGTCTTGGCATTCATGGTCTGGTGGTCTTTAGTTGTAGGACTACTTATTCAAGCAGCTGATTACTTCAAAGCACCATTTGTTTAGCCAGTGACCGATAAATTGCCATATAATACAGTACATTTAATGCTCTATTAACGCTGTTAGTCAGTGTAGCGAACCGTGTAAAGAGCCACAACTGAATCAGACCCGCTTACCCATAATTGCTGTCAAGTACTACAAATATATTATTCCGCTAAACATGATATCCTTGTGTCATGCTAATCTGATTTCTATTATGCTGCTACGTCGTGCTATCTTTACAGGAGGCTAGCCAAATGAGCTATTACCAATCCAACTCTATAAATGCTTGGCACCTAACACGTAATGCTAATTACTTTTATATGAACTTATAAAACACAGTTATATCTTATCAACATAATACACACATTCCCTGCTTCATATTTGCCATTCGGTCACTGTGGCTAATGCTAACGTACCAGTGACACCTTTTAGGCTAACGTTAGGTGAGCTCGCTTGTGCGGCTGACGCAGGTTAGCTACAGCAACGTTAGCTAGCGTTAATTGATAACTTACAAGATAGCGCTGTGTCTCCAGAACAAGCACATTGTTGTTGTACCACACTACCAAAAACACTGCTGCTAAAAATGGATCCTGATTGTCCTACCGTACCCTTACCTTAGACCTTCTTAGATCGGCATGTCCCGTCGTAACTTACTACGGTAAGCTAGCGTTAGCTGTTTTGATCCCTGGAATGGGATGATCAGCTGACCCGATACGGGACGCTGCCTGGGGCAAATTATGGTAATATAAGCACTAACCACATAAAAATGCAAGTATAAGATTTTTGTTTTGTGCCTTAAGGGGAATGAATATAAGGAACACCATGTTGAATAAAGAACATATTTTGCTTTTAGCTCAATTTACTTATGGTATGAGAAAGATACCTTTGTAGAATGGGAAATTCTTTATTGAACACAGTGCACATTTATGACGACATTTTAAGGTTGTCACAACATGGAAATTTGTGAATAGACAAATAAATTGAAAGTGATTCTTAAAGACAGAGGACATTTTCTTTAAAGACAGAAAAATGAGTAAGTAATCACAAACAGCTCCAGTGAAACACATGTATACAAATATTCATTCCTGATTCCAGTCAAACTGTGACTTGCATTGCTCTGACATTCACGATTCCATACAATTGTGCAAAACATCAGTCATACTCACAAACTGACAGTTCAAAAAAAAAAAAAAAGTGTTGTACCCTTTGGGGCATAGTGGCAGATTTGAGCCTGGGCCAAATGAAAATCCAAATACATTTCAGCAACATCTGTTTTTATCAGAATAGGAGACTGGAAAATGTCAGTATGACGTTAAGATGGTTTTCATGGTTTGGTTGTTCAAGATCAGAAAGAATGCATCTAAAACAGGGCAACAGTCCCTTCTATGACATATTACCAATCTTGTATTCTGAAGAAAAGGAGGACACTATGCTTTTTCTACTAATGCTTAGTTGGCACAGGAATTTTTATACCTTAAATTAAATGACCAAAACCATCACTGACATTTTCTTCCAGACTAAAGTGACATTGCTGATGTACAGGATAATCAGATGGTATCCAGTGAGGGACACGACCACTTTCTCATCTGCCCATCTTCAGTTCTCATTCTCTCAGGCACATCAGACTCTCCAGGTGTAAGGCACTTCTCATCTCTCGCACCATTTCACACGCACATTCGCGCTAGCTCTCTCTCACTGTCTTGCGCCCTTGTCTCACTCTCTCGTTCACCGAAGAGGCATTTTGAGTTGTGTTCTCTGGGATCTTTGGATGCAACAATGACTGGTATTCTTTATGCGAATCTCCAGCCAAAAGGTGCACATTTAACCCCGAGTGCAGTCGTCTCAGCCAGGGGTTGAGCCAGCCAGAGCATCCTGCATCTTAGTGCGGGCCAGAGCGTACCGCTGCACTATCTGCTTGATGTGTTCCTCTTCTTCACGCTGCAGAATGCGCAGGAAGTTCTTTAACTCGGGCATGGAGAAGGCATGCCACTACGAATGCAGAGGGGGACAAACTGCATTAGTACATGCAAGGTACATAAACTAACCAAGTATTTGTAGAAGGCAACACATGATCGGGATCCTTTATTCTTATGTTCACGTTGCACTCACATTGACTTCTCCGGTTTCGTTCTCTTTGAGTACAAAACTAAGGACTTTCTCATTGGGCCCAGTGCACAGACGCAGACAGAGGGGACGCTCATCATCAGACAGCTTGCGAACATAAACTGAAGGAGAGACAAAAGAGATAATTAAGTATATAGCGACATGAATTAAAAAAGTGAATAATATGGCAGCAGTTGAACAAGTTATCAAAAATGAGTCATACCCTGGTCATGACGCTCGCTGCGCTCAAACAAAGCAAACTTGCCAGGATTGTCCACAACTGTAAACTTTTTCAACAAAGCCTCGATCACCTCGCGAGCTGAAGTGCGCGAGCTTATATGCAGGTGCTTGGATGCATCCTTTGGCAGGTAAAAAGAGGTGCGACGCTTTACTTTGCTACCCCTCCTACCCCCATCATGACCTCCTTTTTTTGGAGATGGAACTGACACAGGTCGCACTAGCTTGAACTGCACCTTTATGAAGCCAGTGTAGGAGCCATCCTTGTTCTGTTGACATAAAAAAAAAAAAAAAAGATTAACCCAAAGTAACAGAAATTTATTTTCATTAAAATGCATGGAAGTGGTGTAACTGCTCAGTACTCACCATGTTCATGAACAGATTGCTGTTGATTTGAGCATTGTACTCCTTGACCTTCTGCTGAATATCTGTCGTTGTCAACTCTGGCTTACCAGATTCAATTTGTTCATCCTAGAGGGGAAAGTGAAAAGTTGCAGTGTTAAACCACTAGGTGCCAGTGCTCACCGCCAAACTACAAGAGTGAGACCACAGAATGACCCAATACTGTACATCAGTGCAAGTCTGGATACTTGATGCAACCATGACATTAGTTTGATAAAACCATCACATTCTGTAAAAACTGCAGACATACTTCACATTAATCCATTTGCAAAAACATGAATAAAGTGTTAATGACCCTTGAATAAGTAGTTCACAATGGCACAGCTTTTCTGCAGGGAGTGTACTCTTTACATTATGCTGCATTATTAAAACATTTGGTCTCAAACAGGTTTTTCAGAATTGTGAATGGGTGTTTTTGCTATGTGTACAAAAGTTCACAGAATCGTTAAGCATGGAAAGAAAATCTTACATTCAAACAATGACTTAAACAAAACTGAATTAAGTTCTTATTCCAGTAGGATTTCTTAAAGTTATCTGCAAGAGAACTATAAACACCAACACTTTAGCAAAGGCGTTGTTAACTGACTTTGGTAGGCCCTTATTATTTCTAACATGGAGCACCAGTTGCATCAGACTCAACTTCCTGACAGCACAGCAGAGGCAAAAATGATGATGTCAGCTCTGCCCAATCATGTTCGACCGCTCTGATCCCTCAGCGTGAGGGGCTGGTCCAACTGGTGCAACTTGCAGCTGTTTGCTGTGACTGCATCCAACCGTTCTGTACTGCATTCCTTGACTTGTCATTTACGTAAAAATAGACTCCCCGCTCCTGCTCTCACGAGTGGGAGAAACAATGCCCTCCCTTGTTTTACAGACACATCCTGTGAAGTCAGTTGTCTCATCAACCACACACTCCAAGTCATGTTTTAGTCATGCACATTTGGCCTCTAGCTTCTGCAAGACCGTTAGCTCAATTAGTCAGTTTCCTGTGCCTACTGACCAATTGGTATTTCCTGCAGGGATAATGTATAAGATTCAAGAGATCTCTGAGGCACCACAAATGTTTTTTTTCTATACAGTAGTCCAGCTAATTTCTCATGGTAGTAAGAGAGGCTTTCCTAAGCAGTAATATCCAAACATCAATACCCTTACAGTGCTCTAGATGCTGCTATTAATGACACTGATACTAGGCACATTTTTCAAACATTTCTGTACAAATATGGGATAAAAATGTCACAATCCATCTCTTTCCAGCCTCTTATTTCAAAATGAAATGAAAGACAAACTGTCCAATGAAAAAAAGCTAAATCAATGTCAAGCAGAACACAATCAATAGTAGCAATCCTGGGGCACGCTGACAGACTGCAGAATCAATGTGCTGCTGTTAACAAGTCAATAACTCAATGAGGGCTAAGTCGATATGGTGTAACAGTAGGAGGAAAACACTTGTACAAACATGTCTCTGTGTCCACAAAAGGAGTGGCATTTAAACAGTGTTGGATGTGCAAACAACATAAAATAAAAAAGGCATGTGCTAGAAGTCAGAATGGCAAATGTCAATGAGTTTTACAACAAACAGCATTTTTCTCAATAAAGGAAGTGGTGAGCTGAGTGTGGGTGGGGGATAAAAGAAACATAAAAATAACCAAATCCAAAACATCCCATGAGTCATCTGTGATTGAGAAATTAGTGTGATAAACCTGAGAAACGAGTAGGTGAAGGAATTGTGTGTGTAAGATGGAAACCTGAGATGCAGGTGTGCGTCACACACGTCATTTGTTTTCAGCATGACTTCAGCTGTGGGTTGGTGCTTCCTACAGTTAATAATAAAAAAAATACACCGATATGTGTTTTAAGCCAAAACCGTTGTGAATTCCCCAGTGCTGATATGCATTTGATCAAGTTCCGTTTACTAAAAACACACAGTCCAGAACTCCACTTCTCGGTAGTGTAAGTTCACTGGGGACTCATCTTGTGTGTCCCTGAGCAAAACATTTTCCAGCAGCAGCAGCTCCAGGGTGTGGGTGCTGCTGAGCACGTCGTTATATAACCCCCAAAACATATGAATAATCTGTTTAAATCGATTAAATAACTATCAGATAGAAAGAGGAACTATCAAATAACGCGAGAGTTGAGTTCCACGAACTACCCATCACCCATCTCTTTGGTTTCACTTCCTTTTTACACTAAATGTGTTTTTTATCACTATTTATCCATCTCACCTGCTTAACATTTGCGTTTGGTTTCCGGATTTGGGGAAAGAAAGATGTCCGGGCGGTGAAGTACTGCTCAAACTCGGAGTCTGAGTCCTCGTCGCTGCAGTAGCCACTGCTGGTGGAGCTGCCCCAGGTCATCTCGAAGGAGGGAGATTTGTCCGAGCTGCTAGCCACGTTTGTCATGTTGACTACCGTTAAAACAAATTTTACACTAGAGGCAAGAACTTGAAATTAAGCTACGACAATCAAAAGTGCTAAAATAGATCACTTTTAACTACGTATGACGCACATTTACCGACACAAAAACGACTGAACAGGAAGTCTCGCAGAATAGTTCTGAATAATAGCACCGTTTATTAACATCACCTGTTAGCTACTCTCACAGACTAGAATGTATCTCTGTAGCGCCTTGATAACAACAGCCTAATCAACAAAGCTCTGCTCACTTTTTTTTCCCCCCTCTAACTTAAACTACCGGCCACGTTTCCATCTGTACAAACCGTGTGAAACAGGATGTGTTCAGGTCCCCGCCCTTGCTGCCTCGCGTCCTTCCCCCCGCCGAGGCACCACCCAGGTCCGTTGAGTTTGGAAAATACACAAAACCACCGCAGCGCGTTGCGATTGGATGCCGGGGGAAATACCAAAGACTTCAGCCACCCCTCCCCTCTCTCTGCTGCCGCGGCCCCCTCCTGTTTCCTCTCCCACGGATGCTGCTCCAGGTCACGTGATGATGGGGCAGCAACGTGTCACTCACCCCCCCACAAGCCATGGTCAGCATTTGACCGTTTTCCCCAGCATGGGAACGGGGCAGATATTTGTTTAAGCACCACAAATTATTTTTACAACCTGCACTACAAAGCCAAGTTACATTTTTCCTATCCAAGTTGAAAAGTATCTGGGTAAAGGAGCAAATATCCTAATGCCCCCTACAGCCACCCTTTAGCATGTAGATGCTACCAGTGGTGGAGGAAGTAATCAGGTCCTTTGTGTAAGTAAAAATACTAATGCTACATGTAAAAATACATCTACAAGCAAAGGTTCTGCATTGAAAAGGTGCATTAAGATTTTACACATTGTCTGATAATGACAATGTGTTTTACCTTTGTAATGTTTATAACACAAAGAGAAGCATAACAACCAAGGCCATGTGTCCCATCTGGCAAAGACATTTCTAAATACTTTGTCCAGGTTTCCTCCCATGCTGAGGAATAGCTCGAGTGTATTTGTGCTACAGTACTGGCTACATAACAGTAAAAGACAGCAGTGAGAGCCTCTCATTGTGAACTGACTACTTTCCGCTGTAGGCTGCTACACCCAGAAATCCTCCATTTGTTGCTCGATAGAACAGCCCACAGATGTTTGTACATGGTACAAATGCTTACCAAAATCAAATTTAGAAGAAGATACAAATCTGCTTTTTCATTGACACAGAAAAATGATCATGTTGTGCCTTGCATGCTGCGCTTTGTTACTCACGTAATAGGTTGTTTTTTACATGTCACAGCAAACAGGTGTTTGTAATACACTAATTATGGCTGCAGTCTAGTCAGGTGAGCAGGCTTCAGGGCTCTGGCACTGTGCACGCTGACTCAGTGGCATGATTTACTTTTACAATATAACACAGCCACCCTCAATGTCAAGTCAAACGGGCTTTTGTGTAAAAGGCCTATGTGCAATATAGAAGCCTACACACCAACATGTTGGCCATGTTTTCATACTTTGATGGAGAGTTTGCTGAAGTTTACAGTAGAGATGCACCGACTGCAATTTTCTGTCTTTCTCTCACTCTTGTTTTTATAAACCTCCAAACTAAAAATTAAGTGTAAAATTTGTACTTCTCTAAATATAAACAGGTGCAACAGGTAATAAAAAAGAGAATAATGTCTGTTACTACTGAGGACAGTTCTTTTCGAAGTGTGTGTAGTTTGTATTTGCTGTGTTTTACCACAGGTTGGATGCACTGTATATATACATGCATTCTATGTGTAGCCAGTAATTCAATCACTGTGTACAACTGGTGAGAGATTTGGACGTAGGTTTCCCTTCTCCAAGGGGTTTCTGTGGGCTCCTCTGTGCACCGGTTGTACACCAGGAGCTTCCACTGTGGGAATGAACACGTGAGATATGAGGGTGAGGCTCATACGTGAAATGCTATACTTTTGGTGTGTGCCACTGCAGGCAATACATAAACTGTCATGCCTCTAAATCTGATCGGCACAAGAATCGGAAATCTCAGAGCAATTGGCCAGTCACTGAAAACTGTCCATTTCCGATTTCTGCCAATCGAACAGTGCATCTCTAGTTGACAAGCATTTTTTGATAAGCACCAGGTGCTTGATAGAGCGGGAATAATACCAGATATCAAGAAACCAAGCCCTGCTGCCTTGAACAGCTACTGGTTTATATCTTTGGCATTCCTCTTTACAGACAATCCTGGTGTGGTGCAGAAAAACAAGAGAGAGGACTTTTCTTCTAGTAAGATTTTAAAGGTGGAGCAGTCAGAGTACTTTACTTCATCTCTGCCTCATTGAAGCACAGACAGTAAGATCCTCACTGTCATCAGTTAATGGTGATAGGGTCAGTGTAAAAGGATATGCTGTATTAAAGTAGTTTTTGCCACTTGATGGAGCCTAAACCCATCAAATAATAACTGTAGATTAACAGGATGGTACATGTGTGTGCATTTGTATCGTCTATTAGCTTTGATACAACATACTAAATGATGGATTTAACAACATGCTCAAAAACTGCTGTACTGATGAAATAAACTGATCTTTCACAAGGTGTTACCTGTAATACTTTGTGTTTCTCAACTACAATCTACTTCTTCAAATACCAATTTACTTCCCTTTAGAAATGTGATGTTGCCAACGGTCCCCCAGTCTGTTGCTGCTCTGCGTTATTGTTAACAGCAATTAAATAAACAATCCTGACAGTGTCAGCCCATTGTGGAAGTTGAATGATGTCTAATTATTTCCAGATAAAATTACTTCCTTTTTAACCATAAAATGGTTTATTTGTTCCCGTAAGCATTCCAGCAGAATTAACATATCCTATGAAGTATCACACAACGTACGGTAACATGTAAAATAGAAACGACCAGCTTCCTCATGTGTTGTCATTTAATGGCAACTATAGTGGCATAACATAGCATTAATTTCTAGCTGCTGAAGATGCTACAAAAAGCAAGTAAACAGTGACTACTCCCACTTGTGATTGTGCGCAAACATGCCAATGAACTACTGAAGAACACTAAACCAGTCAAACCGCCAGACACAAAGGTCCTTACCACATTTGTGTCCGTTTCTATGGTGTGCTCCACAACATCCGTTTGGTCAGACACAGAGCCTCGGTCCCAGCTGCAGTCCAGCTGGATGAGGGCACGACAGCGGTAGTGGCATGTGAATCTACAATCTGTAAATGTAGAAAGTCACTGAATTTAGACAGATAATGCTAAACACATAAATACATATGATAGAGTGCAATAATGGTTGATGTCCTCCACTGGTCAATAAAGGTCATTGCAATTGATGCAAGGCAGCTTTTTCCTGAAATGATTGTGTATGTGTGAAATGTATAAACAAATAAATGTCAAACATTTCTCTCCCAATACCCACATAGCAAATCTTCATGTGCCGATTGCAGCAGTGAAATACAACAAAAGTAAGACATATGCTGAATAATGGGTGTATATACTGTATCTGAATATTTATTTTATGTCTCATTGATGATGATAATGTTTGCTGTTAGTTTAAAATTCGTGTTTGTGTCAGTGTGTCACTATGATTTGACTGCAGTTTCATATTCAGCATGTTAAGCAATTTTTGTCCCACTGAATGCTTTAACCTCTAGAGTCCTGAGCTTTGGAAACCCAAGCTGTGCGGTCCTCATATGAGGACGCAGGGACTCTAGAGGTTAAATAAGCCACAGCTACGTTTCAGTGGGTTTCCGTTGATGAAAAGGACATTCAGGACTGCTGCAACTCTGAGATAAAAAGCCAAATGCAAGCCTAGATAATAACCAAACCACCAAAATCACATGAGTGTATATCTTCTTAAACACTTCTAATGAGATGATTTGTGGATGCTGTAGTCGCAACATTAACTTATGATTTCTAGGACTGAGCCAAGTGAATACAGGGTTATTTGGGCCTGTATCTACATTAGTGGTTACATCTTTCCCTGTTTAACCAAGTTTCCTCTTTCTCTCTGTGCTGCTCTTGCTCAGTGTGCATATGCACAGAAGCAGTCACACGTGCACACAACCAGACAATGTAAATGACCTAGATAATCCAACTCACTGACACACCGCAGGCTCTGTTTGTAAAGTCCCCAGATGAAGTCTCCACACAGGTCGCACCATGTGGGCTGAGTGTGGCTGCACGGTTGGAAGTTGTGTCCTTCTCCCCTTCCCTCAGTGAACTGTGGGTCCTGTGTGCTGCTCAGCATTCTGATAATGCCCACCCGACTCAGCAGGTCTGGGACCTTTCCCGGGCTGATCCTCAGGGCATTGGTTCTCTCCAGGCGTGGAGGCTGGCAGGGTGCAGGTGTGCCGGTCAGCGCTACCTGCTCTCTGCTCACCCGCATGTCACGTAGCTCGATGAACTCCCCCCAAGACATTGTGTCAGTCACAACCTGGTTTCCTCCATCATCGCTGGAAGGGAGAAAAACAACCTATGATGCAATACAACCTGCTGAGACATATTTTGGTCTGTTTTTAACATTTAAAAAATGTGATGTTGAAATCATAAGGTCTATTTTGGAGTCATAGAAGAAGTTGTCTTCTGAAAGTGATGTTTTCATTTGAGCATGGATTCTGAATGTTGTGTTTGCTCTACATGAGGACAAAACATTACTTTATAAAATTAAATGAAACACTACATTTATGACTGCCTTCCCATATGAGAAAAAAACAGTAGTGAAAACATATTCAGACTTTTTATTTAAGAAAAAAAATCTCAGTATTACAATTACAATACAGGTTCTCAGAACAAATAAATATGTTAAGATCAACATTTCAAATTTTACTTAAATAAATGTACTGTTATTAAAAATACTATTAGTTAGATCTACTTATAGCATCAGTGAAAGTACTCCTTATGCAACAGAATGACACCTTTATCTATCATTATACTATTATTACTGATTCTTTAACATGTAAAAAGTTTTTTTTTTTAATGTTGGTCAAGTTAAAGCTCATTTTAAATTGTATGTAATGATGGCCAGTAATTTGTAATACATATAAACTGATCATGTGTTGCATGTAAAATCTTATTCTGTAGAAAAGCTGCCAAATAAATATACTACTACTGTAAAAAGTACAACATTTCCCTCTAAATTGTAGTAACGTTTACAGTAGCATAAAATAAATAAATGAAATACCCAGTGCAGGTAGTTAACATTCTACATATTACATTCAAGGACTATTTTGGTTTGCCTCATGCCATGTAGGCTGCAGTATTACAGACATTTAATTTACATGGCCTGCTATACTGCTATATATGGTGGTTTAGTAGCTGTTTTGCATAAAACACTTTGGTTGCCATGTATCGACGCACTTACATGTATAACAGCCTGTCTACTATATATAATATAATGAAAGCAGAGTACGCTAAGCCAGTGTAAAACAAATAATTGCGACGTGTTATTGCTGTAAATGTACTGTAGGTTTTTACAACACAAACTTTTTCCATGAGAGGACTAGCTATAATTCTAGTACAGTTAAAGGTTCATGTAGAGAATGGATACTCCAATATTTAGTCCAAAACAACGATCCAGATTAGTGTAACTGTCCACTTTTGAGGCTGTGGGCTAATGTAAGGAAATCTTCTGTAACTTACCAGAAGTGGGGAGAAAGCGACCGCTTCGTCTCGACTTCTCTCATCCGAAGAGAAAAACTTTCCGCAGTAATTTCTGATAGTTTCCGAGTAACGGAGATGTGCGGCCTCGGCTACATCTCTGAAAATACTCTATCATCCCCGGCTAGCTACAGTTAGCGAGGAGGCTCGGTTTTTACGGAAAAGTAGCCGGTTTCATCAGAGAAACCTGAGAAGGTCTGAACACAATAACATCCTCTGCTGCTGTCACACTGCTGCCGGGGGAAGTATCAAGAAAACGAAAAGATGAGATTGAGCTCTGCCGACATCCGGAATGTTTCCACGTAGGGGGATGTCTCTGAGTCCGGAGAACGGCTGAGTGTGCGTGTAAAGTCCCCCACCCCGCAAACAACAGTGAGAAAGATAGTGGTGATAACTTATTGTAAATGTTTTTTATCAGCTTGCCAAACCAGAAACCTTGTAACACTCATAATACTAACCCCAAAAGCCAGACCTAGGTGTGTTCATTGCTTTCAAACTCTTCACTTGTTCTTTGAAACCATGTAAAGAAGACAAGGAGGTGGGGGTGGTAATCAAATCAGTTTGATAATCAGAGGAGTATAAAATCCTTTAATGGGGAAGAAAGTTAATAAAGCCTCCTGAAAGCCCAAAAAGTTATCATGAGAACAAGCATTACAGTAATAAAAAAAATAGGAACCACTAAACTCCGCACCTGGGCCTACATGTTTCCAGCATGAATAGAAAGACGATTCCTTATTTAAAATGTATAGTAATCCAAATCTGCCTTGTCCACATGCAATTCTGTTCCCTTCTCTTCTTGAGGCTCTGAATGTCCCAATCTGCATCTAGCCCCCAAGTCCACACAAAGGCTTCTTGCAGTGTTTCTCTTAGCTGCTGATGTCCAGGTCTCTCTGGATCTTCTCTGTGGCTTCGGTCATGAGCTGACAGGCTGTCTTGTGTTTAGGCCAGTGCTTCACTTGGCACTCTCTGAAAAAAAAAGAGAGAAACAAATGGATTTTACACCTTTCATACTCCAGTGAGAAATTATCACCACACATTTAGATTCTTATTTTATTTCTGAAATAGAAACACTGATTTATATCCATCCATCGAGCTCGAACAGGTTCAGCTCCGTTTTTCACTGCTGGACCTGAATCTCTACAAGTATTACCTGTGACAGTACCATTCTCCCTGACATTGAGAGCATTTCTTTGCAGCCTCCTTCCCGCAGTTTCCACACTTTGGCTTCTCGGGGAGTAAATTCTCCATCACATCCAAGTTGTACGTCTGAGCCAACCTGGTTAAAAACAAACAATAATTACAGTATGTCAGTAATAATCACAGTGCAGACAGAATGAGTAATGCCTCTGTAAGTTTAGTGCTCAGTCAGACCTCTGTGCCTGTAGCCTCAGGTCATCTTCAGATGGGTTGAATGTTTCTTTGACTTGATACTTTGCTATTGCCTTCCACTTTCCAGAATTCTCACTCACAATACAGCTCCATATTTCTGGGATCTATACGTAAAGAGAAAAGTGAGAGTAAATTCACAGGTGCATAGGCTGATTTAAGATACTGTATGTCCACATATGTGCATGTGCGTGTACCTGTTCCAAAATTAGCTCTTTTTTGGGGGGGGGCGGGTCTGTAACAGCGAGATGAGCTAGGAAACGCTGAAGTTCCACCAGGTTTGGCAGCTGATCAACCAACACCTCTGTTAAGAAACCCCGGAGCTGTGGACCATTAATTACAAGTACGCAAATAATACAGCAACAAGTGTAACATCATTAACCCAATTAGAATAATCTACCATGAGCTTTAAGATTTAAAAAAAGTGAATACAGGGGGAGGTGCAAGGCTCTGTCATTATATAATCAATGTAACAGGAAGAGGATGAAATGCACATAATAGGAGGAAGCATCTTGGTCAAAACAACCTTTGGAAATTTAATCTGTGTTGTAACAAAGGAGAAAATCGGATATGATATGAAAGGACAGTACTCTGGCATTCAGTTTTTAGCTAATGTCCAGGACAGGGAAGAGGCGCTGGTGGATCCAATTTAAAATCATGCTACACATTCATTCAGTACAATAACTCTCACACAGCACAGCAGAAGAACCCAATCATTTCATTCAAACCTTACTTTTAGAAGCCGATCCTTGTTAAAGCTGTTGAAGTCATACTTCCTTTGGCAATCTTCCTTCAGCAGCAGATTGTAAAGGGAAATCCAGACCTGGCCATCTAGTTTTGTCATCTTTAAATGGTCTTCCAAAGGAATCTTCTGCCATTTGCTGTTGATGTACTTTTCTACATTACCTACAGTGGGAGACAGAGGCAAAACAGTAAAAACACACATTTCTTCCACTGGACGGGTATACTTTAAAGACAACCTTGACACAAAAGAGGTGTGATATACAGTACCTTCTTTGCAGCGACTCCAAGGGCAGCAGTCAATCAGCTGAACCAGTACGCAAGGCATGTTGTGGGTGCACAACATGCGACTGATAATACTGATACTGTAAACAAACAAACAAACAAAAAAGATTTTTGTCAGCTGTGTGGGTGAAATGATTGGTCAATTAATCAGTCACGTGGTATACCATGCAACAATTTTGATAAGTGATTAATCATTGAAGTCAAGTTTCAAGTAAAAGCGCCATACATTCCCTAGTTCCAGTTTCCCAAGTGTAAGAATTTGCTGCTTTTTTATTTATATCACTAGCGTTATATGCGAATTTTGTATCTTTGCGTTTTGGACTGTTGATCTGAAGATGTCAACATAGCTCCGGGAAACTGTGATTGGCATTTGAAAGCTCTTTCTTAGATTTATAGGCAACACAATTGATAAACTAATGATAGATAAATCAGTAATGAAAATAACTATCACTTGCAGACCTAATCAGCTTGATTCTCACTATAAAAATACAATGCTTAGCTGTTCTGTCATATAAAATTCTAGTTAAGTGTTACTGAGATACAGCCATACCTGTTGGTGTGATCTGTAATGTAGCGCAGCACAGATACAGCCTTCAGAGAGATCTCAAACTCCAGTGCAGCACTCTGAATCTGCAGTTCCTTCACCAGGAGGAACAAAGGATGACACTCATCATTTTAAGAGAATGAAAGACATTTCTTCAGTAGCCTGAACAAAAAAGGAGCCATAAGCCTCATTTACCTCTATAGAGGACACACTTGCGTTCCCTGTTAGGCTGTCTTGATCATGTACTGTGGTGCTCTTCCTAGTTACTTTACTGACCAGCAGGGTGAGTTTGCGGTGGCAGTAATCCACCAAGTCAAGAACAGAGTCACCTGCTGCCTCACATGAATCCTACATAATACACATAATTTTTTTTTATTCATAATTAAATAATGGTTTATAGAGAGAAAGAACCAACAGTCTACTCTGCCTTGTTGTAATCACATCAAAGCCTTGATCTAATTTGAGAGTAGGTATTTGTTTACAAACTGACCCTATGAAACATTATCGTTTCAAGTAGGTTTATGATCGTGGCTTCATGGTGAATCTGAGAAGGAGACATAAAAGAACACATTAAATCACTTATGAGCAAGTTGATCATCATTTTACATCTAATTTTACACTCACCACCATGTAAAGATGAAAGGTGTTCTTGGGGTTGAAGTCCTGCAGCTGACATAAGATGGGGAACACTTTTTGCTTCCACACTTCAGTGAGGATCATTTCATGGACCAGAACAGGTATCTAGAAAGGGGAAGAACATAAATAGCTCGTTATAATGTGTCTATCATAATTTCATATTTCTAGGGATTCACTTCAAGAAATGTTTAATTACACTGTATTTAACCAGGCTTGTATAAATTCCACTGACATTTTTAAATGATATGTAGGGAGGTGGCATTCACCTTTTCATATGACACCAGGAGCTCTTTGACAAACTCATCATGCATGGCAGAAGCATTCAGAATGGCCTGCATGTTAAGTTTCTCAATGTATTCGTGCTGTTTGAACCACCTGTCAACACACAGACACAAAAATGATGACATAGCATGGAGGGAAGCTACACATTATGAACTGCTACTGTATGAACCATCCATATCAGATTCAGAATTGTCTTTATTTGCCAAGTACATCGAACACTTGAGGAATTAGACTCTGGTACAGTGGCTCTCAATGTGCTTTTTGTACATCAAGTAGAAAAGCAAAGACAGTTTAGACTACGTACTCATATATTGCTTATAACATCACTTTAACCAATCATCCTGGAGACTTAAAACTGTTTGCAATCATCTAAAAATGTATCTAACATAGGATGGGTTATAATTTAATAACAGTTTAACAGTAAACACATCTTCTTACAACTTCCCATACATGGTTATACATTATTTAATATTTATTTATTGCTTACAAATGCTACATAGGGGGCTTATGTGTTACCTTTATGTTTTACCTGTAACACTTGTTAGGACTGTTACTCCAGTGCTTTAAGGCTACATCCTAGCATTGCTAACACATAGAAATTTTGAGTCTTTATTTATTTGGTGTGCGTTTCATATACCACTTGAAGTTAATTCAATAAAGTGGCTATCATATACTACTTTATACAGTTTCCTGTCCTTTATTTAACTGTATCGATTATCACACAGCTGTGTGCCATGTCAGCATATGGCACACAGCTACTTATGTCAAGTCTTGATAACATCACGGTTAGCTAGCTAGCTAGCTGGTCCATCTTACCTCATAGAGCCCACTTCCTTGAGAGAGAAAGTTTCCAGACTTTGGACAAAACCCTCGGCTTCGACTGGTAGAATCACAGGGGTGTCCATTTCGTTACTAAAAATTGCTCAACGAGCTACCAGGTAAAAAGAAGTGAATTTCACTATTCCGATAGTCAAGTTGTTTCTAAAGGTAACTTGGGTTGGATGTCCTGTTCTGCGGTTGTCATAGTTACTGTAAACCAAGCGCAGTTGCAGGTGTCCGCCAGAGAGGGGCGATAGAGCTCAACATAAACGTAAGTACCCGTGCCTTTAGTACTAGAAGAGTAGTAGAAGTATCCATCATGGACCAGTTATATCCAACCATCCATCTTTTATCTACACCGCAGAGGCCTATCCCACTTGATTTGATTTCATGCACCGATGAAATCGCAATTTATAAAGTAACTATTAGCGGTTCAATAGTAGGTGAGAGAGAAACAGTATTTTGATTTTCTCTATGTCCTGCACATTTAATGAATTGACAATAAAAATCTTTGATCTCGATCTTAAATAGTTGTAGTGGAATTAAAGGTAGTCTTATCTCCCTTCATTTGTCCATTAAGTGTAGACATGAGATGTAAAAGTAGCCTACCTCAAAACTGTACAGCAGTCTGATAACATCAGATCTTAAACATTAGGCTCATTTTTCTGAGTACAAAATTACACAAAATGTAAAATCTCATATGTTTGTGCATCCTAACCTCCCTAATAGAATCTGTCATTAGGCTTATAATTGGTGCCTGTGGAATCAATAGGATTTTGACAACAATTTTGAATATTTCCGTAGGGTTTATGAAATCATATAAACAGATTATGTTTGCTATTTCTTTTAATTTAATTAAATATACCAAGATAAATTGGTGGATATAATGTTTTATAACCAACTGAAACACTGAGGTATAATATGTTTTATTAATCACATTTTTTCTTTTGTTCAGTATTATTATTAAATAACACCGTCAACACTTGAACTGTCAAATGCTGAATCCCAGTTCTTGATGAAAAGCAAATTATATTCATGATTACAACCCGAATGTCAAAATTATAAAACACTACTTTTCTTAACTGTTCCAAGAAAACTGTTCATCTCACTGAAGGCATCTTTGGTTGAGGTGTTTCTGCATCTTTAAATCAGATGTTTATTTGGTTTTCCATTTCATATCAAATCACTTCCAGCACACCACGATGTTGGGATCATTTTCCAAACGTTCATCCAGCTCTTGGTAACTGATCCCTGTAAAATTACACCACCACCAGTCTGGTTAATAAAATGCTATTCTACTGTAAGCAAACTTGTTTATTATCAAAAGTTATTCACCAGTAATCAGAGAAAGCTTAAACCCTGCCTGTTTTGCAGCAGATCTCATCGTAACTATGACAGCCGGTATAGAGTCGAGGTGGCCTGCTCTTCTCATCACGGATCACCTTTACCGGATATTTCTGCAGCCGTCGAATGAGAGATTTCATCAGTCCAAACTGAATCAGCCTCCTGAAAGACAACAGGTGATTAAATGTCACTCTGACCTAACTTTTCAGTCTGTTCATACCAGATGTGTGATGCTTACCTCTCATCAACACTTTGAAGGTGCTGCGAGTAGCGAGAACAAAGGTCCCGCACTGTGGTTCCTGGACTCAGACCACAGTACAACTGGAACACATCTCTCAGACTGGCCCGCTTCTGACCTGACACACAAAACAAACAGTGCACTGAACATCACAAATGTAAAAGGGAAAAACATTTGAGTTCAACGATCACAACTCCTGCTTACCCTGCTTGGTGACGTAGTTAAGGCACTCCTCCTGAATGGACTTGTCATCTATGAGGCTCTGGACTTTGGGGGTGGTGCAGTACACATTAGAGTACTGAAGGGAATACAAAGGCACAAGGCAGTCACCACACCACGTCAGGTAAGACAGAGCATCAGGGACATTTTCAAAATGAAGTTGAAATATTTTGTGAAAAAAAAGGTTATATAACAGGAAAAAATTGTAACACGTTAGGACAGATTCATAATATTGTGAGAGAAAAGTATAAAATGTATGAAAAAAATCATAATATTTTAGAAATAAATACTTAGTTTTTGTAAATAGGTGACAACAGCTGTTACATTTCCACTGACTTGAAGTTTGAGGTTTTACCATTAACAACTTTTTTCTTGAACTATTACAACTGTTTTCCTGCTAAATTAAAATTTAATTCTGGAAATCAGATTTTGTTTTTCTGCAGTGGCCTACATACTTTATTGTAATAGTACCACTGCACTACACTGATACACAGTTGCAGTGGAATAAGTCAAATGTGTCGAGCTGTGTGAGTTTAATTTTGTACCTGGAATATGGACACCAAGGTCACAACACCATAATACCTGTGAAGGAAGAGGAAGGTTGGAAGTCTCTGGGAAATGTAGCCTTTAACACAGTGAAATGCAACACACCAGCTGAGTCATGAAGAATTTCAGCATTTAAAGCAGGAAAACATGACAAAACTGCTGCTTTTTCACATCAGGACCAAGAAATAAAACAGTGGCTTATGCTGATGTGTTCATCAGGATGCCACTGGTGCTTGTGCTTACTGTACACAGAAAATAATGAATGAGGTTGTTTTGACCTGTGTCAGACCCCACTGGTGTGTGTTGCCCTTTTTTTCTCCGAAATGTACTCACAAAAGATTCTGTACAGCAATGCGAACAAGATTCAGCTCTACATCCGCCTCGGCTGAAATCTTCTGAATATGTCTAAATCCATCAATATAGGGCAGGATCTGCAGGGAGTAAAATATAGTACAACCTGAATTTTTCACTACATAAGCTCTCTGTACATTAGTTTGTACCAGCAGTAACACATTATTGCATCTATAAAACACAACCCCCTATACTACTGCTTCTTTTCCTTCCATAAATTAATGGATGTGATAGAGATATTAATAACATTTCCTGCCCAGCTGATAACAGGCTTTTAATCACTGTCCCAGTCCTCCCAGTTTTGGCACATCTTATCACAGCCACATGCTGCTGAGAAATAAAGACTACCTGTTGAGTGGTGAGATCCCACTGAGATTTGATAAAATGGTCTTTGCACAGGGTGAAGACAGGCACATCGTATTCCTGGACAACTTGGGGGTCCTTTCTCACCTGGATCAGCTTTAGGTGGATTGTGTTAGACTCATCTAAAACAAAGTACAGAAAAAAAACAGATTAAAAAATCTGATAGAGAATGAGATTTGGTTTTCAAATGCCAAACCATAAACTTCAGTAATCAATACTTTTCAGCTAGAAGCCAATACTGTGTTTTCCCCCAAAAATTCAAGTCAAAGTCAAACACAAATCACAGCACTGGTTAATAATTATGGCTTCCCTTTTGAATGGTCAATATAATTATTAATTTTTTAAGCACAGACCTTCATTCCTTCTGAATCTTAGTTAGTTAGTTAGATACAACATCATGGACATTTTTGAGCCTGTTCAGATATATCACTCTCTAGGATCATGTCATGGCATACTGTGGGAAGAAAAATATAGTTTGAATATGTTTGAACAGCTAGCTTTAAATGCATTTCAGCTCTTGAGAGCACACGTCACACAGCTGCTTGCACAGTGGTGCTGCTGTGATTTGGTGTATCTTATTAGTAGCCAAATTATGACTAAATTTTATTTTGGAGCTCCTTTGTCCAGTGACTTTTAGTGCTGCTGCAAAATCTCTGGTATCCTCAAAGCTGGCTGCAGCAAAATGAACAGCTGACCAAGACATGTTCTACTAAAACTTCTCAGCACAATTTTACAGTTGTTCACTAAAAAAGGGCTGTTTTCTGTATCATATATGGAAATGATATTCCCAGCACTGTAAGAGCCAACTGGGTGATGGAGGTCCGAACTGTAATATGTGCCTTAAAAACCAAATTAATACCTATGGGTAAGGTGCAGGCTCCTGTGGCATTGAGTTCTTCTAACAAGATCGACATGATGGGTAAAAGTTTCTGCTTGCTCTCCTCATTGGAAATGAAGCCACTCTCTAGCTGCAGCACAAGAAAACACAAAGATTTAAGATATCTGACCTGTTGCATTACTGAGAACAGTACATTAATCAAAGCAATCACATGTAACAAGGGCAGATGTGAAAAGAAATGTTTCCCTACCTCCAGAGTAGTGAGGTACCCAGACAGCTTCTTGACAATTGGCTCAAGGGCACAAGTGTTTGTTTGGGCATCACAAACAAGGCCAAGGTTAAACAAGAGGGCATTTCGGCTGTACTTTTTATGTTCGATGCACACAGGACACCCAATTAACTTCTTTTCCATGGCAGTGCTAAAAGAATTAATAAAAAGATGTTAAATTAGACATGGACAAAAAAAAGCAACATTGAAGTTCATAGTAAACATGAACAGATTTACTATCTCAAGAAAATAAATCCACGACTTAAGGAAAGAACACATGAGAATCTGATTACATACACTGTTATTAATTTGTTTTGTAGTTCTGGCTTGGTGATAATATACACCTGAACTGTATCAAAGAGCTCCCGTGAAATGTATTCTTCTGGGACCTGTCAGGAGAGGACACGGAGGACAGTGAATAAAAAAATACATCCTATAAGATTATCTACTGTGCAAGTTCAAGGTGAAGATCATTTCAGATAAGATGAATATTAATTCCTTTATACATACACTCCAACACAATGATGAACAGAGTCACCAAGGACAACTTGTGCAGCTGCTTGTGTTTCAAGGCAATAAACCAATTTTAGATCTTTTCTTGGGATTATGATAAATAAGAATACTTTTGAAGGACAATCCATGAAAGCATTTTAAAATACTGAATATGATCTAAACCTACTTGTTTATGTATTAAACTTAACTACAAATATCAAATTGATATAAGGGCTGTGACTCAAAATCAATAATCGACCATAAAAATAGCCAGTTATTTTTCTGTTTATCAACTAACTATTGCAGTCCTATATGACATACTTGAATTTGTATGCAAATGAAGTATAATTCACCGATCAGATTAATATTTCTCTATGCCAAATGAATGATTCACAAGGACACACACATAGGATATACAGGATATTTACTCATTGACTATGAATATGAAATTAACTGAGACATTTAATTATTACTACCCTTGTTGAATGTTGAAACTCTGAAACTCACTTTATCAAATATAATATTTGCACACTTACCTGATATGTTATTTTAGGACCAAGAGTAGGATGAAACTCACTGAAAAAAATGCACTCTATTCGACTGGCCATTGTATATATAGTCAGAGCAACCTTGTCGAAGGGAATTTACAAAATAGGCAGCTCTACAAACTTTACCCCAACCGTTTCATTGTAGATGATGGTCTCCCCTGCTTGCCTTCCCTCTTTGCTCCAGCTGTTGTTTAGCAGCTAAAGGTAGCTGCTAGCTTGCGTTTTGCGTATAATGACGAGCTGCCGACCTCTTGTGAAATTCATTTAGCAGTTCTCACGTCTGAACAACGTCCTTATAGCAAACATATCACTGACAAAAGTGCTATCAACTTCATATCAAACTATTCAACAACTGCAACTACTGAGCACGTCCATTCACACCAAACTAGTGAACAACATCAATGATGCGTTCATTTGCGCCTCGGAACCCACATCATCCACACTGCTAAAATAATTTGTAACGTAACAAATGTATTAAGTCGAATGATTTTATCAATTGTATTATGTAACCAGTGTAGTGATGCCTCCGCAAACGCAATAAAAATGACCATTTTTAGCATTTATATATCTATCGGTGTACAGCTAAAGTATAAAGTAGTATTAAATGGGAAGTAGATGTAATTCGTTAAATCACACCGGCACATTTTCAACAGTACGTAAAGGTAGCACGACTCACTAGAGTCAGTGCTGCGCAGCCTGCGTCGCACGTGGAAACGTTTCGCATCACCTGATCAGTTGGGAGGTTTTCAGCGCTATGTGTAGGGAGTAGGTTACTGTCAACCAGCGACAGGTTTGTTTTATCGTAATAATACCGATAATCTAAAAATGTATACATATAACAACAGAATATCGTATGGAAGCTACGGGTACAGCTGAGAGCTACACAAACCCGTCTAAACCGTAGTGATACCGATGCAACCATGTGGAGAAGGTCTATGAGTACGGGCTACACATGCTTTGGGTACAAGAGCATTGGATTAAAGGTAACAGTACGGATCAAATTGATTTTCCCCACCCCAGGGAGTCCTCTTGGTAGAAGTGGTGCTAACTACTTTGTCCTCAGTAAAGTTAGAATAAAGCTGGTTATTAAAAACCAACCTACAAAGCTCTTCACATATAGCTTATGATAAGGGAAGAGTATGAAATTAACAACACAAATATCTTAACTGGCACGGTTTAATGATGATAAGTGAAATAATTACTATTTGAACCATTGGTGGTGTGCATTTATATTTGAATTGACTGAAGATTATTGTTTATTAATTACTAATAAGCACAGTTTATAGCTAAAATGAAATTTCTGCTTCAGAGGACTTTCCTGAGTGAAAGTGGCAGCTGAGGACTTTTAACAAGAGCTTGTTAAAGCAGAGTTGGAATGCACTGAGAGTTTTAAGTTACAGTTATGTTTTTTAGGGAGTTTGGGTCTCCCATGCAGTGCATACATGCAACGCTCCAGTCTTACCTGCAGGCAGGATCACAGCACTTCAGGCCATGGACTTCTGGAAGAAGCACTTTGAGAGGACAGGTGTGGCGGAGCCTGACCAGTCTAGCCAGTACATCATTGCTCATTTGCTTGGGGCTAAAACTGTGAGTTGACATTTCCTGAACTCATTGTTGTCTGAGGTAATATCTGAACATTTGCAAGACCATCTCTTCCTGTTCTTACATGCTGCTGCTTTATACAGATAGAAAGTCTTGAGCATGGGAAGTTAGCGGAGTTTCTCAGCCACGAAAAAACAGAGCAGATGTGGAAGCTCTGCACTAAACGTCTCTCCAGGTATAAAGTTTCTTGATGAACCTTTGTATGAAAATGTATAGGTATGTTTCTGTACTGACAATATTCATACATATTTTGTTTGGTGCAGAATGCCTGTGCAGTATGTGATTGGGGAGTGGGACTTCAGAGATCTAACACTGAAGATGAGACCTCCTGTGTTCATACCAAGACCTGAAACAGAGGTTAAAGAGAATGAAAATAATAAACGTACATTGAAATCCTGCTGATAATCACACATCTCTGTATCTCTCTATTTTGGTGCAGGAGTTGGTTGAACTTGTGCTCACTGATCTGGAGATGAAGCCTGAGACTGGAGTGAGTGTGGACACTCATCCTACATGTTTGGAAGTGGGATGTGGCTCTGGTGCTATTTCTCTTAGTCTGCTGAAGAGTCTGCCCCAGGTGAGGTTGCTGTTTGCTGTAGATGTTTGGCGCTGCTAGCAGCGTGGCTCTACACATCGCAATGTCAGACCATCTGTCCACCACGTTGGTCTAAACTGAAATATCTCAACAGCTATTGGATGGATTGTCATGACATTTGGCATAGGCATTCATAGTCCCCAAAGGATGAAACCTACTGACTAGGATGATCTGCTCACTTTTTATCTAGCAACACCAGCAGGTTTTCATTGATACAGTGAAGTGATGTCTTCAATTGTTCAAAGTCCAAACCCAAAGATATTCAGTTTCAATAATATGATACAAAGAAAGACTGAAAAATTTATCAGAAGCTAAAACTAGACAATTTTTGGCACTTTTTGTTTGAAAAATGACTGAAATTAATAGTGAATCCTTAAAATCCTCAGTCATTTTGCCATCATTTCAAGTCTACAGTCATGGCTTCCAAACGGTGTATACTAATGACTTTGGTGGTTTTGAGTGAAATGTCTCAACAACTATTGGATGGATTCCAATGAAATTTAGTACGTTAGTCATGTTTAGTTATGTAATGCCTCATGGAGAATTGAAATCACTTGCATGATCTCCCAACATACTTGTGTGTCAGTTGCTCGTTAAGCTTAACTGCCTAACATCTGTAATAATAAGCGGGTTAGCATTGTCACTGTGAGCATTTTGCAATGCTAACGTTAACATTTAGCAAAGCTATGGGGCTTGGCAGACTTCCACAAATTTGAAAAGTTTCTTAGTCAGTTTCCTGTTATAAAGTGAATACACTGGATTTTTAGGCTTGCAAGTCAGACTAATTAAATGATTTTCATGCATCCCTGTAGGTTTTGGTAACTTGTGATGTGTGCGTTGATTTTGCCATTGAGCAGACTTAATGATAAATTTCTTAATAAAAGACAAAATGTGCAAATTCATTTATAACAACAAAAAGCCATCGGTTATAGCTAAAATAGGAGTTATAATATAGTATAATAACCGATTGTCTTCACATCATAAAGCACAGTACAAGTATTCAGCTCACTGCTGATCCAAAACACATACTGCTATTCTGTTAGTTGTGTTTGCTTAATTTTCTGTCTACACTATGAACAGATCGTAAAATGCCCAAAATGACTTAACTGTCTCCTACAGACAAATAGAGTCTTGCCCCTGAGGTGGTTGTAGGCTAACAGTAAACAGAACTTGTTTCTTTTTCACCAGCTTAAAGCCATTGCCTTGGATCAAAGCCAGGATGCAGTGACATTAACAGCGGAGAACATGTTAAGGTAATTGTTGCCATAGCACTTGAGAACAAGTTGTAAATGTCCGGAGGGGTATGTTGGTTGTGGGTAGACTTGTAAAATGTGTGTGTGTGTGTGTGTTTTTTTTATTTTTTTTTTTATTTGGGGTGTGTTCGTTCTGATGAGGGATTTTCCTCTGCAGAATGGAGCTTGGCGATAGATTACAGATCTATCATCTAGATGTACTGACAGGTTAGTGAAAGCAGTACGGGAACTGTATTGTTAAAAAGCACACCTCAGCATACTATAGATAAACAGTTTTAATTTGTGTTTTGTCAGATACGGAAGCTGTGGTGGGCCTCTGTAGCCCTGTTTCAGTTTTGGTCAGCAACCCTCCGTACTTGTTCTCAGAGGATATGGCGTCACTGGAAGCAGAAGTTTTTAGGTGACTAAAACACATTCACCTTTTCATAATTCATATTTTATTTAACCTTGCCATATTTAGCACTTATAAAATAGTTAAAACATATAATAGATTGGAACACAGTTAAAAATGCTTATTCGTTTGTCAACAATTACAAATCAACCACGGGCTGCGACATGTAGTTATTTTCATTTGATTTCACCGATTAATCCTCCCATAACTTTCTCAATTCATCATTTGGTTCAGTAAACGGTGAAATTTCACACAGTCCAAGGTAACATCTTAAAATTGTCTGGCCAACAACCCACATCTCAAAGACATTCAGTTTCCCTTCATGTATCGCAAAGTAAAGTAACTCTTCAGATTTGAATAGCTGTAACAAACAAATGACTAAAACAAGCAGCTGTTTATCTGAACTGTTGCTGTTGCTGTATCCATAACTCGTGTATAAACACCAGCAATGATGATATTACTACACACGAACAAGTCTGTAGTGTGCCATAAAAAAAATTTATTAACAGTTTATACAAATCATTTACAGGTGGATTAGAAATACAGACATGATTCGTCACACACAGTTGCAATATGTCATAAAGCATTCGTTAACTGTTGATATGCCAGTTATACAGTAGATGGCCAAATGGGGAGTTATAGTTACTGAGAAATGTATTAACATGACTACATTATAGTGCTGTACAAGACAGATAGCAGCAACTACTCAAATACGGTGTTAAGTGTGTGTATACTACTCATTAAGGCTAAGCAAAAAGAGTTAGAATAAATAAAGTCATACCAATAATTTTAAATGAATTTGCACAAGTGCATTAGGTGTCTTTGAGTTGTCTTTTGGATGTATTAAGTGATATATGGATACTGTCTGCTGCTCCCAGGTTTGAAGACCACTCCGCTTTAGATGGAGGCAAAGATGGCCTAAAGGTGATCAAACAGATTTTGACTCTGGCTCCACGGATTCTGTCCAATCATGGGTAACAAACCCCTGCGCCCAACACATGTACACTCGCAAACAGACACTCAGACACACAGTCACACAAAACCCAGCTGGGTTTAATTCGATGGCAGTGACTTGTTGCACGAACAGCGTGTTCTGAAAAATACGTATCATGTTTCTTTCTTTAATGAGTCAAGCTTTTTAAAAGACTTCCAGTAAATACAGTTCCCAGATATGTGCTACTGCTATCATAACAAGGTTACTTCTGATAATCCCTGCACTGTTGATAATTAAATTTAAATCCACTTTGTGTTCTTTTTCTGGTGAATAACAGTCGTGTTTACTTGGAGGTGGACCCCCAACACCCCCTGCTCATTCAGCGATGGGTAAAGGAAAATGTGGAAGAGCTGCGTTACATAGAGACACGGCGCGACATCACCGGCAGGTCTGGCTAGAGAACCTCACCTGGGCATCATTAAAATGTTTTGCCCTCCATGCTAAAATTGTATTCGTGTTGATCTTTTAGGCTGCTTTAACAAAATCTTACAAAATTAAGCTCTGCGTACTCCCTTGCTTTGTGGTTCTTAATTCAGGGTCTGTGACACTGATGCCTTTTTGTTTCTTAGGCCACGATTCTGCATCCTTCAGAAAGAGAAGTCTAACCAGGACCGTGAGCTGGCTTTCGGATTGAGAAACTGAGATCCTATTACACTGGCTTTAGCCCAGGTTGCCACAGCGTTTGCTCCCCTGAGTCACCAAGCATGCACTTGAACTAATGTGATCACTCAAAACTCCCAGTTTGCAGGAGCTCAAATCATTCTCATGCAACTGTTTGACTTTTAACTAGTAACATTTTGCCACCACATCCTGCACCACAATACAAGCGTGTGCAAGATGGCACAAAAGCAGGCTCAAAGCTGAAGGTAATTACAGGGGCTTTTCTTGGAACCCTCCCTCTCAGAATCTCTCCCTCATCCCAGGAAGCATTCAGTAGTTCTATGAATTCGCTGATGAACGATCCTCCCCTCCGCTTGTCCACTCGCTGACTCAGACGCAGCTTGAACACATTGTTGAGCAAAAACACACAATGTGGCCTTTACTTCCTCCCGCAATCTGCATCTGTCACACATTTAAAGCTCAAAGGCCACAAAGTCTTTGTGTTTCAAAGGTGACTGAAAGCAAAAATCATTCCTAGTATGAGCAGTTGTCATGTGGTGGTTCATAAAGATGATGACGGCAGAATCTCCCATTACCCTGTCAGCGTAATATTGGAAAACCAGAGAAAAGGATATCAAGGACAGCAAATATGACTCCAATTGGCTGTTTTAATAGAAAAATGTACACTTGTAAAAGGTAGAAAAAATGTTTTACTGAGTGGAATCAGTGTGCTTTTTGAAAACAGTATGTACATACAGAGCTGATGATGGTAAAATAGATATGGACATTTTCCACTTCCATCATAAAATAAGTGTAGATTACAGTACTGAGATTTGCTCACAAGTTGTCTTTTTCAGGGTCATTTCACCCAGTTGACAAATGAAGTCTGAACCCAGACACATCAGTAATGACTAAATTTGTACATCTTTCGTCAGTAAAAACACGACCCTCTGTCCAATTCTTTGTGCGACTGGCCTCTAATGGCTGAAGCAGCAAGGTCATTTACAGGCAAAAAGGGCCCGTTTGACAGTTTTTTTCCATTAAGCCAGCTGAGATTCAGCCATAATAATGGTCTTATTAAGGGACCCCTCATACCTTGAAGGGATAGTCCTGTATGTAGCGCAGCAGAGGCCTCGGGAGTGGTAGCTGGTCAGAGCACTCAGAATGTCTGTTAATGACGAGGCGTGTGAGGTGCTGTAAGGAGGGGAGGCCTTGGGGCTTGTACACAGCCCTCTTCAGTTTTAATAGCACCGACGTCTCCAGAATTGTCTGCTGAGAGGGTTTTGAAGGAGCCTCCTCCTCAACCTTCCCCTCCTTTTTTTTCCCCTCTGGTCCCATGTAGTGCTGCACCAGGCTAGGCACGTTGGGGAAGGACGACAGACTGGGACGGGCCGGGGAACTGGAGTCGAGCAAAAACTGGGCGCCACTGTATTGGATCCGTATACTGGTGGGACCGCGTGCAGTCCTGACCGAGAGGGTCAGCATGTACAGAGGGTGACTGCTGTCTCGTACCAGAAAAGCTCCTTCAGATGCCTCTTGAAGTGCAGCGTGTGCCTGAGCTGCAGTTACAGCTCCCCAGTACCATCCTGCATACACAGTTTCCTAAATATTAGTCACTCTGAACATTCACATACTGTCCTGTATGTTCCTTGGTGTTTATGTTACAGAAAAAAACATGATTAAGTAGTTTAACTAAATGCTTACAGCAGAGAATAATACCAATCTGTGTGTGGAACAGCTTGTGGGTTTTCAGGAATTTTACTTAACTTCAGTGGCTATAAATATCAAAAACTTTTCATATTGTACCTGAATTTTCTAGGTAGCAAAAGTTGCTGGCAATCACCCTTAGGTCCTTTGTGGGGTCCCATGGTGGAGGGGAACTTTGAAGGCAAGAGGTTGGAGCTACATTTCCCGCCCGCATGCCCCGTGGGGCTTCAGTGGACGGAGCACCGGGCAAAAGAGCTCTAGGACTGGATATAAGATGGAAGATATGGTTTAAATGGCATAAAAACACACAGATAATAAAATAGTCACAACAGGATACAGGAATCCACATCATATAAATTATTTGTAGTTCAGAGTTTATTGTTAGATAAGAAGAAGAAGAAGAAGCAGTAAGTAAGTAAAAACAGTAAGAAGACATTTCGTCTGATCAATTCACTGTATGGATTCAGCTGGACAGCCATAAAATACTTATGATTATTTAGTCTGATTTATTGTTTTGTAATCTTATATTTATTCTGTTCAGTTGTTATTTATTTTGTGTTTGTCTGTTATTGTTGCCAATCTTGGCCAGGACACTTGAAATTGTATTTAATTTCAGTAAGGTTTCCTGGTTACATTTTTAAAAAGTACAACTATTATTTTTATGAAGTTTCTTATTCAACTTTTTGTACTCACTGTGCATTATTTGAAATAAGGACGATGTATCCTACTACATTCATATTGAACTCTTTGAATATAACACCGATTAAGAGTACTTTTACAAATAGATTTGTTGTCTTGCGTGTTTTTGACACGGACAACTGAGAAGCGAGCAAACAAAGAAAAGTCAACTCACCCTGGAACACAAAGAATCATGCTATTTCTTGACTCCCGTGCGCTAAAATCCAGTCGGTACTTCTTCAGAAAACAACGAAAACATCAAGAAAATTCACCTCTACAAAAAATAAGCTTTAACATCAGGCTGAGATGAATAGACCTATTTTAGGCGATATAAGGACACAAAGGGTCCCGCGTGTCCAAACAAGCTCTGGTCCTGTAGTTTATATAAGGACACTGAAAACACCTCGTACGGTCAAAAAAAAAGGGTAACGGCGTTAATTTAAGTAGAAATCTATGTTGCGGCTGTTTGGAGTGTGTTGTCACCGGGCTGCAACTGAAATGTGTGAAGGACTGAGTGTAAAGGCTTCCCTTTTAAAATTTACCGTTTCCTAGAAGTCTATTCTGAGAAGTCAGCGCAGCACCGGCGGCTCTGACGTCACACTAACTCCCTGTCCGCACCAAGCGGCACCGGTTGTTTCGCTCTGTCACAGCGACCTGCTCGGCTGTTGGCAGCGGGTTTGAAGGCATGTCTGCTTATTGTTTTCACGTTTAATTGCTGGGACAAGCGTAATGAGCTGTGTCACTCCTTCGGCGACCTTTCCGTGGCTCGTATCCTCCCCCGTTTCACCTGTCGGCTCCAGCCTTCGCTCAGCCGGCGCTCGCTCTCAGGAATCGCGCGGCCGCTTCTTCCTATCCGCTTTCCAGGAAAAAAGCCGCTCCTTCCTATCCGCTTTCCAGGAATAATGGCAGGGTCTGGCTCCGCCCCGCCGGGCGGCCCTGACAGAGCCCTCATTCTGGGAATTCGCCGCCTCTACATTAAAGATAATAGGAATGCACACAGGCTATTTCCAGTAATATAGATTTCCCTAGATCCTGGTGGAAAACACGGCTAGAGATTTTCTCAGAGGCTTGTCGGAGTAATTACGGTCGAAAAAACAAGTTGTTATGGTGACAGTAAAATTTTAAGGAATTAACTCTTCTGTTAGGCCAGAGAAAATGCCATTTTGTTGCTAACCCACTGGATTATCCTTGGTTTGTTATACCGTGCGTTTATCCTAGTTTTGTCCAGTAATCTAAGCGTAGCCTATAAATTTGTATTTCGGCTCATGACATTAAAGAATCTGTCTAGGAAATCCCAGCATTCACACCAGCTCTCTCTGCTGCACAGGGGTTTTCATACATTATGGCAGTTACTAAAATCAGGCCAAATAAGGGATGGTAATATTCACCACAGCAGTATGTTATAAACACGAGGAACATCCTGTTGAGGGCAAAACTTTACAAAATATCATCTCACACCATTCACTGGAAACGAAGCAGCTCGGGAAACTATGCTGTATCATAATCATGACCACGCCTGCTGATCCCAAAGAGCCGAATCTCAACGCTTTCCAAGAAATCCTGAAATGATCTTCTTTTCTAAGAAGTCTTGTGGACTTTTATCTATTTCTACAGGAAATTGTTGAACAAATGTCTTTAGTCCATGAAGTAAAAAGAACACAATTACCTTTGTGAACATTATTTTTTTTCTTTGTATTATTTATTCTTTAACCAGAAAGCTTGAGAACTTAAGGCAACACTGTCTTTTGTTAAACATGACCAAACTGACAACATACAAGGTAAATTTGTAACCATACACATTAAAACAGGACCTGACAGACAGAGAAGAAGCCACAACTTTGCCCATATGAGTAAATGATATTCCTTATAAAGCATTTTGAATGTGGTGTCCGATACAGTGTTTCCAAATGAGGCATCTTGTAATTCTGTGGTGCTTGGATATGAAAAGACAGCTCACAAGAGACACCAGTCACATTAGAGAGTATCCATCTGGATGATCCAGTTTGGTAACTTGAGAGCGTTTTATGTAGCAGGCAGAAAGTCTACCGAGAATCTGAAGATTAAAAAAGTAGACTGTGTACCGTGTGAAGGTCCTCAGCTCATTTATGGGGTGGGATGTGTGTGTATGTGGGGGTGGAGGGACGAGGGTGTTAATAATTTCAGTGACTATTTTTGAGAAGACTAATGCACTCATGACACAATGTGCAAAAACAGGCTGAAATTTTCATACATAGTTGTTGCATCTGTGGAGCTGCAACTAATCATTATTTACAATATTCTTTATTTTTTTGATTGGTTGTTTGCTCTAGAGAAAGCCAGCGAAAATGCCCAGCACAAGTTCCCAGAGACTGAGGTAATGTGTTAAAGTGTCTTGTTTTGCCTGACTAATCTTAAACCCAAAGATTTTCTGTTTACTGTCATGGAAGATTAAGAACAGCCGCAAATATTCACATTTGAAAAACTGACTTCTTTTCTCATTTAAATAGGTGCACAAATGTATCTGTTGACAACTAAATGACTAACTGGTTCAGTTCTAGTTTGAACTGTGATTGTGAACTAGATTTTTCATGTGTACTTGCATAAAGAAGTAGGTGTGCTCCTTTTGATGATATTTCTGAGATTTGAGATTCTCTTTTACAAAACATTTGCCCTGTTGCAGATAGAGTGACAACAATCTTGTATACTGACTACTTGCATTTGACCTACTGTGCAAGTGCAGAGCCTTCCTTTTCCATGTTTTCAAATGACAAAGCTGACTCCATGCTTGGATTCACATCATTTGATGCTAACATAGAGGCATACACAGGTTGTGGCGACTGCCAACATTCATTTCATGATTAATGGACCCACTTTCCAAAACAAATGGGGTTTACACCATTTCACTCAGGTTCTATCATTATTAGTTGTTGAATGTTTTGTCCCCCTTATATAAAAAGATATATGATTGTTGTCTGCATTCTCCTGAAGCCATGCTAGGTTTCTGGGAAAAGTAAGTGGACTAGGCACAGAATGTGTTTGGATCGGTGAACTCACAACACTGAGACTTTGCACAGAATGATTCTGCACATTTTCTACACAGTCATTGATAACCTTTGCATTTTTATTCTTTTTTTTTTTATTTGTTTTGGTGGAAAACATCCATTCACAAGTGGTAAAGCAGAGTCATACAGAAACAGTCAGTCAGCAGCGCACACACATATTCACATAATTATATCCTGAACTTTCCTGTGTGAACATGGCGCACACCCGGACCTTTCTCAGAATTAGTAAGTGGAATGATGTTTGGGATGCACGGAATAACTGGTTTCCTTTTCCAACATGGAGGGGAAAAAAAAGGGGGCGTTTCAAGAAGATTCTGAGAGAAGCTTTCACTCCCTGGAAGCCCCAACGTAAATTAATCTGTTGTACATTAGGAGAGAAAACCTTGTTCGTCAGCAGAGCTTTGTACATAGGGAGCAGGCCTGGAAAGAAATGCTGAGTAAGCAAACCTAGACTAAAGAAACTTTATATCAACTTATTCAATTTTTGGTTCAGAGCACATGATTTGACAAAACCTGTAAAAGAGGCTCTGCAGTCTCTCCACCGAGTTAAGGTTAAAACTGACAAATCTCAACAACTATGGGATAGATTGTCATGAAATTTTACACAGAAATTCGTGGTGCCCAGAGCATGAATACTGCTGACCATGGTCATCCCCAGATTGACATTTGTATCCTAACGTCTTCTCTAGAACTACCAAGGTTTGCACTTTCCAGTGAAAAATCTTGAGATCTACTTTACATATTAGTACAAAAATTAGTTTCATGGTTCTGCAACCACATATGCTGAGGCCTCTTCCTCAAACATTGCCCCCAGGGTCAAAATATAATTCATCCAGTACCGTGTGAGAAGACATTCTCATGAACCTCAGTGGCATTTTGTGTTTAGCGTTTCTTGTCAAATGTTACCATTCAAGCAAAGATGGTTAACATAAATATTACACTGCTAAACATCATGTCAGTTCATTTTGAGCACAATACAGTAGCATACTGATGTTAGCACTTACACTAGCTCAAAGATACAGCAGAGGATTATGACTAGACAAAGTTTACACTATCTACACAGACTAATCCTGCTGCTGAGATAATTGCAGGAGCTTGAAACAGCTGCCAATTATTCTGCAGAGAGACGTTAAAGAAATCAACAGTATAAAAATGTTTATTTACTGTTTAATGACACAGCTGGTGGCATATTTGAACACACCTTTAAAGCAGTACAATGGAGTCTTTTAAATAATGTAACTTCATTGCACTGTAGGGCGTTGTTGACTGGAGCAGATGCCTGAATCTGAAGCTGCTGGTCTAATTTAAAAGTTAATATGAGATATTCTATGTTTACCACAACATGGCAAACCACAAAGTCTAACCTAAACATACAGAATATTTATGGAAATGTCAAAGGAAATTTGACCCTGCATTAAACATTGCATGCTAAAAATACACAAGTCAGTACTAAGAAGATCCAATATCACAGTATAAACAAGATTTTATTTAGAATTTTCTTTCATACTGTTTTTTTTTCTACAAACATTGTTGATACAAAAGTTGCACTGGGGGATAGACATGAGGACTAAAACATCCAGCTATGCATTTGCAAGTTGGAGCAAGTCTAAATTGCAGATCTACTTCTATTTTTAAATGTGGAAGATCCAGACAGAGATGAGAGTCACAATAAATTAAGTCATATGTCTGCGTTTCAGCTTGGCTCTTTTCCAAATGGAGAAGTCATTAAAAAAAGATTCATGCTTTTTTATATATCACAAGTGCTTCAGGACACAAACAACAAAGAAAATCCTCCACTGTGATCATTTCCCTGGGCCTGACACAATATTAACTGGTCTGGGGAAACTGGGAGAACTGGAACTGCAGGCACTACTATAGGTGGGGTTTTTTTTTTGTCCATCTCTAGCTATTTTGTATGGTCTCTCCTGTCCCCTTAATGAGACGCTTGTGTCCCCTTTTCCCTGCTGGACCGCGGGGCTTAGCGAAGGCCTGTTTGTGGGCATACTGCTTGGGATGGACCTCGTCGTACAGAAACTCCTCTGTCAGTTCATCACCATTGTCAATCTCCAACTGCGCATACATGGAAACATGGACGATAATCAAGAAAGTGTTAAAAGTGTAGCAGAATGCAGGCTATGCCCTGAATACAATTCTGGTGGAGAAGTACATTTAGTAAGTCTAAAAGCAGTCAAATATAAATATATATGTAAATAAAGTAACATTAGGATAGTGTCCTCACTCATTCTGTTATCCAATCTCACTCTGTTACCTTTTTAGCAACTTCCAAATGGTAATCTTTCTCCACTTCCTCCAGCAGTTGACTCTTGCAGCTGGAATATAGCATTCGTTCCTTGATGCTACAGCTGTACCCTGGCATGGAGTATATGAACACTATAGATGGGAAAAGAGAAGAGAAGATTTAATGTTGAAGTAGATCAGTGTTTCAAAACAAACCCCTAAGTTACTAGATGATTCAAGAGGTAAGAAAGTAAAAAAAAAAAAAACTCCTTGTGACTTGTGTGTAAATTGTGCAAATTCTTCAAGTGAGAGAAGAAAAATCAATATTAGCTTGAACTGTTCTGAACTCACCTGTCCACAATACATCTATTTGCTGTGATAATTTATCACACACACAAGTCACAAGTGAGTATTGTTTAATTGTAATGGGCCACTACAGTCAAACCAGTTGGGATACATTTATGTAGATAACATGGATTCAATACAACTTTTTATTAATGCCTCTCAGTGTCTGCAGGCCGTGGGTAAAGCCGTGCACCTCCTTGTGCATGTTTGTTCACCTTGTACAGATGAAGAGGATTATAAGAGCTCAGGGATTAGTGACATACCAACAGATTCCAGGTAGTCTCCTTCGTGGCAGTGTTTGTAAAGGAAGAAGTGGTATCTGGGAGTGTCTTTTGGAACTCTGCGGGGCAAATCCCGAGTTTCTGTTGGGCTGCAGTTGGCCAGCTCGATTATCTCCTTTTCTACATCAAGTCTCTGAAACACAATTACAGACGGTTTTTCTCTGAGAGTAAAATATCACAAGTCTAATACATCAACACTCCTGACGTTAACCGAGGCTCACCAGCTGTATGTAGTTGAGACGTTTCTGGGCAAGTTGCTGAAGGGCTCTCTTGGCTGTGTCTTGCAGTGGGAAAGCAAGGCCTTGAAGAGTCTGGTGTTTACTCTCCACATTTATCTCTGCCTTCACCTGCAGAGGGCAGCAAGCAAATATACATTTCTTTTTAAGTGTCTGAAGGAAGATCCACAAAGTGTTGAATGGGAGTATATTGTTATACATTTCATATTCAAACGTATTTTTAAAAATCTATCACTTATTATAATCAATAGATACAGGTTCTCTGTGTCTTTCCTGCTTCACCCCAAAGTTGAATTCATATTAAAAATAGATACACAGCAAACAGTGGAACAACATACCTGTTTAACCCGGCCCTGAAAAAGCAATTGCAACAAAAGGTTATACTTCATATAGAGGAAATAGACACAAGCAGACCACGTTAACAAAGAACCAGCTCACATATGAAGCTATGTGCAGTGATGACAGCCCTGCTGACAGCAGGCTGACCTCTCACCTCAGTGATTTTGATCCTCTGGAGCTCCTGCTCAGCTAATGTGAGAGGGGCAGGACCTGAGCAGGACGACACATGACACTGGTAGCCCAGCAAACAGATGTCCTCCTAGTGTTGCAAGCAAAACGTGAGGCACTTTAAATTATGTCATCAGACCAAAATGGAGAATTTGTCATCGTACATTACAGTGAATTTAAATAGTTCTGACCTCAGTTGTGCCAAACATCTCATACTTCAGGTGGCCACCACCAAACTCTTTCTTCACAGTGGCACGGGTGGCAGCGTACAGCATCTTTTGTTTCACCTGCAGCAGTTAGAGGGGAAAAACTGGAGTTATTGTGCTGAAACTACAAACATCTGAAACCCATTCTACAAAGTGCAGGTGTGGAGTCTGACTTACTTTATAGGTTGGGAGGGTGTAATGACAAATGCTCTGAAATGGCACTAGGGGAACTGTAGGACTAGCATAACCCATGCTAGTCCTGTGATATCCTTCTCAAATTAGATTTCTTGTCATGTGATCATTTTGTGTTTCAGGGCCTCTTCACTATCAGCATTAGTATGTGCTTGAAATATTCTTTTTCACAGTGGGATATTTTCTGACAATATCTGCCTTTCTCTACTGTTTTTTTTTAACCTGTACTTATAATAAGTACATATTTCCATATTATTAAATCTTTGTAATGGGGCAAATACAATATTTTGTACTGTATGCATCAATCTTTTGGGAATTAGAATTCCGATTGTATGATAATCAATGTACCTGTTTGGTAATCATTTGGCAGAGCATTTTTTTCTGTGGTTGCTTTTCCATCAGGTTATGTTTATGTATGTACAGTACATAAAGTACTAATGCTATTTATATGACTTTTACCTACAATTAATTGACAGCCTACAGGTGTTTTTTTGACAATGTAAAAGTCAGGATATTATGACTTCTGTTGCTCTTTTTTAATGTGTCTTACAAGTCTCACTGCTTTAAGGAAGTGCAATACTAACTTGCTGCCTTAAAATGTGTAAATTTGAGGCTATTACCTAATATTACTGAGTCTAGCTACAGTTCAGAATGAAGGATATGTGGTATGTCTTACAGGAGACTGGTCAGGAGACCACGATATAAAGATCCACTCGTAGCCCTGTGCATTCTGGGAGTCAAGGCGGTACAGGATGTAGCAGGGTTCCCGGTCATCCAGGAGAGGAAGCAGGAAGTGATCATAATCCTGGTCCCAGCTCTTCTCTGGCTCTCTGTAGGCCCCCAGCACCAGCTGCTCTGAAAGTCAGACCACTACTCATTACATACCTTACCCCTATATACAGTATACAACAAAACTGAATATATCCTCGGTCAGTATAAAAATGTAAACTACTAATTCTGTCAATTCAATGCAATTTTATAATTTTTGCCCAAGAGGCATTCAGCCAGCCTTATGAACAATGCTGAACATTCATGTGACAAAGTCAAATCTTTGATATTCAAACATGTAATAAATAAATCTTATATTTATTTTAACAATCTTAAAATAAAAGTTTAAAATACATTACATGCAAATACAGGAACAAAAAAAAAAAAGCCTCAGTTTCAACTTATTTAAACAAAACTTGACAAGAGAAAGTTCAACTGCTGCTACTCAAAGTATCACCTTTACAGATCTTGTCTACTAGAGAGCAGTGACATTTATTTGTCAATTGTAATATGTATTTCGGTCACATAAAAACAAACAAACATAAAAAAAAAACTTGATCTCATAAATCTAGTATCAATTGGGCTATAATATAGAGCTGTGATACATATTCATGTTGCGGTGGACATTAAGTCCCAACCTGGTCCACACTGACTAAAAGATAATTGTTTCAACCCTAATCTCCCTCTAGTTTTGTTAATTAGGGCTGCAACTAATAATTTTCACAGTGCCCTTACAATCTGCAGTGAGGGTCTCACTGTTTGCTCCATGTGCTGAAAAAAGGCTAGGACAACCTCTGAGCTAAAACTGTCACTATGGACGGGACAGGACAAACATGATCAAAACCCCAATAGCTTAGCATGATAAAATACACAGAACATACACATAAACCTAAAGTCTGATGTCCTTGTGAGGTGCAGGGGGATTTCCTGACCATCTCTTGGGACATGCTGCTATTCTGAGCAGCAGCACATTCCAGATCTGCTCTCACACATAGTTTCCATCAGCCATTCTCTCTCGGTCCCTGTCTTTAAAGGTCTGTGTTAGTGTTTGTCTGTAACTGACTTCAGGTGTTCTATATGGTCTTTTTAGCCTTCAAGTTTAAAATAAGATTTAAAATGATCAGCTATCAGGAGACAGTCAGGTGATTGGAAACCAAGTGGCACACAGAGGCAGCGGTGATGAAATCTTGTTTCTCTGACACTGGGACAAACATGTGCCACTGAGCAGCTGCACGTAACAATGACAAGTAGCATCGCTCCAAACAGCCGGTGATGCCTCAGAGAGAACAAAAGTAAAACAGACCTGACAACTTTTACTGCGACAATGCAGACACTAATACTCCACGCATGAGATCAAATATTTGATAGGCACAGTCCAAAAAGGCAGCCCCAAAAAGTCCCAGAATGCATCTGTCATGAATCATATTACAGCATGGCACTGGTCAGATACCACAACAAGATGTAAACACACCATGGACCTGTCGGTCATTATCCATAATCAGATACCTAAAACTGTATTGCCTCACTGACTGTTTTTGCCTTGCTGACGCTGAACAGCTGGGCTGTTCTTACACTGCAACCCTCTTTTCCTGGAAGTTAATCAAATTGTCTGTCGCACCAGTTTAACGACCTTTGTTTTGCTTGTGACCACTTAACAGCCCACTTGGTTCTGTCTACTTGTAATTTCTTGATACAAAGTGATTATCTTTAGCAATGACCAGTTCAGTCAATGGATATATATACCAGATATCCATTTAAATGTAGCCTACGTATACAGGAATCAGTGGATACCCAGGAATCTTGGAAAACCACAGACGGAAGTTAAAATTGTTTGAAGCGTTATAAAAACTATGTTTTAAACCTTTTTCTCATGTTGTGTCCTAATACAAAGATCTGGTGTCAAGACATTTTTTGCACATTTGTGTTGTCAGATTTTGTTTTAAATTGATAAAATAACCATTTCAACCCAGCAATCTACACGCTATACTTTGCACACCCGGATTTGGGCAGTTTATCCCATTCTTCCCAACAGATGCCCATCCGACTGGGTGGTAAGCATCTGTGAACTGTCATCTTAAAGCTTTAGACAGTTTTATATCCTTACTCTGATCTATGCCTTGCCACTGCTGTATTGTGGTCTACAGATTTCTTTGGATTTCATGCCTTGGTTTTTGTCTTGCCATGAAATGTGAAAGCTGGGGCCTTGTGTACACACAAGCGTGTGCCTTTCTAAGCTCTAATCTATTCAATTTGCCACAGGACTCCTGTCAAGTTCTAAAATAATCTCTAGGATATTTAAAAACAGGATGTATTTGGCCATAATTATAAGACATAAAATACATCTGTAAACATTTCTAAAAACATGTTTTCACTGTGTCATTAATGGCTGAGTGTAGACTAATGTGGTTCACTGCCCTATAGTACTGGAACAAAGTTTCCAGGTCAAGACAAAGGGGCAGCAAGACTATTTTGGAAACTTTCTGAGCTACAGATTCTTTTTTTCTGATGTCAAAAATCCAGATATGTTTGTTTACATCTCCAGATTCCTGAGAATCCTTCAAACTAAACTTAGGAAAAATGGCATCTTGTGTGCGATTGTGACAACCAAATAATTATTATTTGCAACACTTAATTCCTTGTGAAAAGAACTTGGTTTTCCAAATAATTTGTTGTGTGACAAGATTGGGACAGTTGCCCAACTAGTGGTGCAAAATGTTTTTACTCATATTTAAACTAATCCATCTACTGTGCTTTAGATTAAATGAACAAACATGACAAAAATAAAACTGAAACCCAATAATATTATGGATATTAATTTACATCCACCTCAGAGAGGGCTCCACTGTCCAGTGTCCTGGGTCACTCACCGTCTTGGATGCGCACCTTGAAGAGGCGCACTGTTCCCCCTCTTACCCTGGCCAGGAACTCCCTCAGCTCTGGCGTCACCACTAGTGCGAGAAACATGGTGGGTCAGCAGTCTCTTCCTCCTGCCAGGCGCTGTAGCAGGGGTGTTGAGAGACAAAGAAAAAGCTACAGACAAGACTGAGGCTCCAGAGGACCAGGCCCAAATATTCAGTCTGGTCAGTAGACACTAAAGTCCAAACAAAAGAGACTGCTGTAAAAAAGTCCTTTAGTTCAAGTATGGTGACCAAATACTGTTCTGAGTGCTTAAGAGCAGAGGATCGCCCAGTGTCTGAACTCGTTGAGTGTGTGTGACAGTGTGAGAAGGGACATTGCTCAAGTAACTGGGACAGTATCATGTGCACACAGAGAGGGAATCTGATCACCTCTTGCCCAAATTTAGCTCCCACTGGCTGTGCAGCCCTGGGTACTGGTCTGTGAAACCCTCACCACACACCACCAACAGTGGAGGAGGAGGAGGACAGCATGACCTAAAAACCTAATTATGAACCTCTGAGCCAAGGACAACTTGAACTCTGATGTATTGTCCCAAAACAAGACATACTGTAAGAGAGTACTTGTTAGATCTGTCGCTGTACTATAGTTTTATCATTAACACAGAAATAGACTGGACTCAATTCCTGATTTGAATTTTACCATGTACTGTTTGAGTATAAACACTACTACCCTGCTTTCTGTCATTTACATATTACATTGATTTGGGCTGAGGTGGCAAAAGGAGCAACAGTTTCAGTTTGTAAAAACCTGGCACTTTACATTGAAAAGAGCATATTGCTTTGGAAAGTTTAAGCAGCTTTACAGCTTTGTCAACCTCTCACCTCTTAACTTAGTGTGCATCAGCTGTGATGATATACATATTATGCAAGATGTTTTTGCCTCATAAAACACCTGATCATACTGACAGCACTTTCCCAAGCTCAGGGATTTCAAAACTGACAAATCAGGTTATGGAAAACTAGGAACTTTGAATGATGTTTAGTGAGAATTAAACCTGAAAATGAAAAGTAGACTGGCAACCAAAAAAAATATAATAAAAATTAGTCACGAGGGAACCAGACCAAATAGTGTCCAGAAATTCCTGAGTATTTAGTACATATAATAACTTTTACCCTTTTTACCTTTATATATATATATATTCAGGGTAGGTTCTCTAATAGGCCATGTTTTTTTCAGGAACACTGTCCACGTTCATAGTTACATATCCACACCTAGAAGCTGCTCAGTACAACTGACCCGTGGCCACTGAGCAGCTCCATTGGAGTGTTGCTTTGGGACTGTCCAACTCAAATTTAATCCTGCTGGTGCGGTGATTACTGAACCAGGGACAGTCTAGTCACAAGCTCGCTTCACTAATCTTTAGAGGTGGTATAAGATTCAAATAACAAAGACGTCATATCAGCTAAATTTACTCCATCAACTTTGGGTGTGAGTTCATTTGAAATGGTCTTCTAAACTGATTAAGTTTTTTATGAAGAAAAACAACAACAAAACAGTTCTAGGGGTCTGAATTAATACATAATTTTAAAAATAGTGTGGTGAAAGCATAGACAAACACCTAACATGGTAATAAAGTTGACAAAACCAGTGTCTCACAGGGAAGCTGTTTAATGTTAAATAAAAATATATAAAAGAACTAAACAAGTGATCTATTTCTGCCAACTACTTATTTACAATTTGACAATGATTTGGCCCTCGTCCCTGCAAGATTCCTTACAGAGCCGGGTGTGCTGACCCCTGCTGGCCACGTCGACTGAAGCCCTGCCTTTGCGTTTGTCATCAGTCATCAATAGTGGGGAGCCAGAATGCCTGCAAAATGAGAAAGCATTCACAATTTAAATGACATTTGAGCCATTATGTGCTTGAGTGTGCCTGAACCTGTGCATGTGTGACTGTTTCATAAGACTGAAAAACCAGTTTCAATAGTTTTTTTTAGAATCAAATGGATTAAAAACATGTTTAAACAAATTATTTTTGACTACTCCCTTTTTGGCGAGAGCCAACTGAATTACACAGAATTGACATTAACATGGTTCTTGTTGTTCTCCCTGATCTGCGTGGAGAAAAAAAAAAAACTGAACGTGCAGCTCCTCATGTCATGTTATAACCCTTACAGTCACTCAGACAGTGTACAGTTCTATCAAGTATGTGTCGTGTCTGGCTGCAGGGTAGGCTAACAATAACAAGACAGTGATACAACTAAAAGAAGATACATATTGCACAATTTAGTGATGTCACATTTGAACACCGCACAAGACTAGCGAGTTCATCTGCCTAACAGTTTAAAAAAACAACCAATAAGGAAGCAACACTCACCATGTTGGAGCAGGCACTTGCAAACGTCATGAACTTAGGATTGAACTGCAAGCACGTAATTGGCCCCGTGTGCTTCCCATCTAATAAGGCCACCTTCATACCACTCTCTGCATTCCACACGTGGATCTTCCCGTCCTCAGACCCTAAAATTTAAGGAGGGACATTCATTTCCTGAGATTATATGTGTTCTTTGAATTCTGATGATGTACTGTACATATATCGAATACAAAAATATGCATTTGATAAAAACATGATTTGCAGTGTTACTAAATGTCAAAGTCCCGAATCTGCTGCAACAGATGATGGATTTTTGAATTTATGTTGTCATGCATTTAATGTATTCATTGCCATCAGGATCATAAAAGAAATTCAGGAAATGTAACAAAAAATGCTTTCCAAAAGAACCACCAATGTCAATCAAGTCAAAGTTCAGATGTGATGACACCTGTTCTTCGACTGAAGCTGTATGAGAAACTATTCCCAACAAAACAAAGACTTACCAATCATAACAAACTGAGAGTCGGGAGTGAACGACGCCTCTAGTGTTACACCTTTGCTGTTGTTGTAGCCCTGAGTGTAAATAAACAGCAGCCATGAGTAATTATTTTGTGCACATTAATACAACAGTAAACACTAGAGTCTATAGAGCATACACATTAAAAGCTTCTTTTAGTTGGGAACTTTTCAGGCATAACTGGAAAAAAAAAGGAACCATTATGGTTTAATGTGCTGAATTTAGTCACTGATTTAACCACTCAATGGGTATGATTCACCTCTGTAAGAGTTCTCTGTTTTCTAATTTTTACTGACAGTGTCTTAACTGTGTGATTTAGATGAGCATCAGTCTTTATGCTTTGTTTTCAACTAATGGATATTGTTGTACACTGTGCACGAAGATGGGTTGCTTCTTACTCCAAAGGAATGTAGCACAGCACCCTTAAAAGCATCCAAGATGCGAAGAGCTCCGCCATTAGTTGAAAGAAGAATCAGTTTCCCATCATTGCTAAACTTGAGTCCTGTCCACTCGCATGTCCGATCATACTGGAGTTTGAAGGTTGCAAAGGGACCCTGTTGACAACAATGAGAATGTTTTTGCTCCCATTAAATGCCAACCATTTACTCAAATTGTAGACAAACATACATCCTGCTTGGTCTCTCACACACAAACACTTCTTGCCTTGTCAAATGACCGCAGATCATAAAGTTTAACCATCTCTGAATTTATTCCAGCAGCAAAAATGAGACCCTCTGGATCAAAGGAGCACACTGGCTTCCCCTGCAGGTGCATCAGACCCTAAAATTAAAAGATGACAAGAAAGAGCCAGTATCAGCTACACCATTATATGAGCGCAACACCAATGAATGCTCACCAAATTAAAACAACAGACACTGACTTGGCAGTTAGGTGACCGCAGATCCCACAGTCTGATAGTTTTATCTAGTGAGCCAGAAATAAATGTGTCGTCTACTGGAGACATTGAGAGAGATGTCACCCTGGTCAACAAAAACAAGGAAAATGTGCGAACACAGCAAACTTTCAATTCAGTGCAGCAAATCAAACCAAGGCAGTAAAAACATTAAAATAGGCAAGTATGAATCTGATTTTTACCTCTTGTTATGCCCAGGAAAGTAGCGGATGTACTTGTTGTCATGAAGGGACAGGTAACGGATGGTGTCTTATGGAGAAGAAGCAACACCATTAAAGTGAGGAAAAAACTGCCATGACATCAAGCATGGTCTGATGAGTGGACTCAACCGTGGGCAAGGCAGTCACTTGTACAGTTAGCTCCTGTATGGGGCAGAATCACAGACCCTCAAACTGTACAAACAACTACCTCAGACCAAAGTGAGTAATCTGTCCCCGTCATCCAGCAGCAGTCCACATGGGTATGGCATCCTGTATACAGTGGTTACTGGCCAATAATCCTACAATCCAGCTAGTAAAATATATCAATGTTATTACAAATTATATTTCCAGACAATACGATGTTTGAAATGTTGAGTAATCTAACATTGCAATATAACAAAACAATGTTTTCTCCTGCGTTACACTGAAGCTATTCTGCTGTCTGGATGTATATAAAATGCACACAAGTAATACCTCTGCTTGTTTGGCCCTATATCGCCATTATTAGTGACTTTTCCCATTATTTATAGCCACACATTACATACATTTCATTACAACTGTGGAGTCATCATATAGACTGACATGTGATTCTTCAATCTGTTATATACCAATAAATCACTCTTAGCAGATGAAATTCATTCATTCGCATTACCTACCAAAAACTACTAACAAGTGCATGTGCATCAACCTACCATCGATTTTGTTGGAACTGTAGACCACAGTGTTTGCAGCATGTGTGTACCTGATCAGATCCACACCATACTTTTTACTGTAGAGAGTCCTCTTTGGTCTGACATCAGATTATATAAGGGAGGAAAGAGAACAAATAAGCATTTAAAATCAACTAAAATATTAAACTGCCCTGACAAAAACAATCCGGTCTCTTCATAATGAAAACATGACAAATCAGAAATGGCAAAGAATAGTAGTAAATTATCACATTTGAACATCTTCAACATTAAGCATCAAACCACAAGAAAACGAAATAGTTGAATAATTTTCATTTGATTAGCGTGATTAATCGTTGCAGCTCTTTGGGCACTTAAAAAAAATCTAAATAACCTATCTAACTTACATTCACAAGTTAACTAATAATTTAACTAGTTACAAGTTAACATTAGTAAGAGACTTATTCCACCATAAGGTTTTTAATCAACGCAAACACACTTAATATTACTAACGTTAGCCCATTTGAACGCGAAAACCTTTTACGATTTTAAGACTATGACTGACATACAAAATATTAATTGTTACCAGGTCCTTTTAGACACGACATACTGACAGAAACGGTGTTGGGGGAGTTTTCAAAATGTATGAACATATGCAAATTTAAATGAATCGCTGCACAGTAAGTTATTATCGCAGTGCAGCAGGCCTCGCTAGCTAGCATAGCGAGCAGCTAACGCCAAAAACAACACAGTAAAATGAACAGAAATCGCTCTTACTTTCCCTCTTGACAGTCGTAAAGGACTAAGGAGTCGTCGTCACTGCTCGAAATAATTGTTTCTCCGTTTGAACTGAAATCGAAGCAGTTAATTTTGTCAGAGTTTTCTCGAAACACCTTAGCAACCCTGAAGCTCCGCAGCACATTGTCCGTTAGCTTCATGGTGGCTTCTGTCTTCTGAGGGGAAGCAAACCCTCGTTTTACACTTTAAACTGACTTACAAATGTCAGTTTTGGTGACTAGCATAGATATATGTAAACCTCAGCGGGGCAATAAGATTATTTTAAAAGATATGGTTCCTTCATAAACAGCGCCGAAAACCCGCCCGTGATACTTAGATCTACGGGAGTGAGGAGGAAGCACCGCCTTACGTCGGTGACGCGCATATTCATCCCCTGACACGCACATTGATAGGAAACCACACGAGAGGGCAAATAGTTATCGCGATAGTTACAGCTGGTATGTCTCAAGTATACATTTTGGTGCGGGTTCAGTTTACTTGTTTTCCTGGAACATTTTAGCTGTTGTCCTTCTGATATAACACTTTTTCTGTCACATTTAGCAACTTAACGTTTTATTGCTCAGCCTGCTATGCTTTGCTTCTAGGTTTTGCTCCAGTCAGAAAAATAGACAGAGCTGCAGAGGAGAATAGACGAAACATCTGAGGTATGAACCGACTTGAACTATCTTGTCAGTAGTTCATGTGTTGTGAATGTCAGCAGTGCGAACATTTCAAATCAATCATTAAACAGGGTACCCGGCTCCAGTGCCCGGTCAGATCTTTGCTGTGCTTCCTGACTGCTGAGCTGGAGCGCACATAACAGGCTACCACAGGAATCCACAAGCTTATACCCCATTTACAACTTTCACAGGTAGGCAGCTTCATGAATCTTCAGTATGCACAGTTTTATAGAAAAATGTGTTAACTGTTTGGTCAGGAGTTATCAAAGTATGTTTTCAGTTGATGTAAAGACAAACACTAGGTACAGGTACTGTTCAGCTTTCAGTTGATTATATTATATAAGTACAGTACAGCTCTCTGGGGGCCAAATAAAATTGTTTGGGGGCTTGTTTCAACCCATGGGGTGTTACGTGTTACTTTACCTAATACGTTTAAGGGCACCTTACTAGTAGGTCAAGTTGTGTCAGTAGCCTACCTCATCTTAATATAAAGAGGAGTACTCATTCCACCATGCAGTCCAGCAGTGACCTGGGACACCAAGGACACTAACACAAACATTATAAATGCCATAATATAGTGAATCTGCTTTTAGCCATTTAGGTGTTCTTTGGCTAAGGCCATTAAATAAAATGGTTAATAATTGATTATTATTATTGTCAATTGTGATATTACAATATTCTCCATGTGTGGTCATTTTAAACCAACTCGCTTTTATGCTAGTTGTCTGTATATACTATGAGTTTTTTGTTTTTAATCCCTCAGGCAATTTCTGCTCAGACCCATCGAACTGTCCATGGCACGTGTTTTCTCGCTGTTCAGCTCTCACCCTCTTCTGACCTTTGTGCGGAGGAGGAAACCTACACTGTGCAAAATGTCAATGGACTCACGGGCACGCAAAGTGTTTGCAGCTGCAGTGGAGGCTGTGCAGCCAGACACTGTGGTCCGACACAGTGTAGAGCGCAAGGAGGACTCAGCCATTATCGATGGTCATAAATTTCCACTCAAACACAACCTGCACATAGTGGGCTTTGGAAAGGCTGTATTGGGTATGGCTGCAGAGACGGAGAGGATTCTGGGGGACCACTTAGTGAAAGGAGTCATTAGCGTGCCAC